GAGGGTTTCGACTTGGTACACTTCTCGATGTTGGGAGGGTTCAGGATCTAGGTTTTGTTGGGGGTGTTTGTGTTCATGGTTCAAGGTTCCGGGGCTTGGGTTTACAGCTAGGCTAGGGTATCCCGGCGCACGTCCTGAGCATATCTTGATTTCAGATTCACGAGTCCCTTCAGTCGGGATTTGCGTGTTTTTCTTGCTGCATCTCGCTACCTTTCTTGCAGTCTATGCAGTGCTCTGTGGAGTTGATCGCACTTGCGATATTGATGGGCTATAGGCGGTGCCCAGGACGGGTCAAACCATCAAGACAGAGACGCGGTAGGTCTAAAAGCCTGGTGAACTCGGAGTTTGGTTTTGGGTTTTGGGTTTAAGCAGTTTAAGGACCCTACACCCTGAACCCTAAACCAGGGTTTGGTGTTTCTTTTCAAGTTAGAAGGTTGATCTGTGCCTGCCTTGCGAGACTTGGGAGAGAGATTGCTTCGGGATTTGGCGTCCAGAGTCAAGCTAAACTCTACGTAACGACCCACGAAACCCCAAACATATTAGTCTAACCCCTAAAACAGGCTTAAAACCATAGATAAACCCTAGGCAAACCCTGAAACTGGGGCCCTTGTTGGCTCGTTGGGATGAGATTTGAAATCTGACGGAGAAGCACATGACTCGTAGAGCCTTCGCCCTGCGCGTTTCATCAACAATCCGACTGTCCGCCCATCTGTAAGGTTTCGACTCTCACTCTCGCACTCGAACTCTACAGGGTTTAGGGTTTAGGGTCTTTAGGATTTAGGGTTTATAGGTTTAGGGTTAGAGCCACCGCGTCAACCTGTTCGCAAAAAGACGTTCGAGGGTTTGCCACCAATCATTGCAGACGCTGCGGGAAATCTAGGCCCCACAGCACCTTAATATAGTGGCCTTAGGGTTTAGGGTCTTTAGGGTTTAGGGTTAGAGCCACCGCTTCAACCTGTTCGCAACAAGACGTTCGAGGGTTTACCGCCAATCATTGCAGATGCTGCGGACAATCTAGGCCCCACAGCACCCTAATATAGCGGCCTTAACAATTAGCATAGGGTTCCTTTAAAGGGCTCGCTCAAAGGGTTCTATATGGGCTACTATAAGGGTTCTATAAGATAGGGACCTTAATAATTAAAATAGGGCTTGGGCGTATAACTATACTATAGTATGCATATAATAAGGAACCCCCAAGATAGTATAGGCAAGTATTTAGGCCCTAATATTAGACCCTAAGCCCCTCAACTGTACACACCTCCAGGCTCGACGCTGAAGGTTGAAGAGTGTAAACCCATCTCCGCCAATCCAAAGTCAACATGCCAAAATAGGGACCGTAATAAGTAGAATAGAGTTTCAACATATGAACACAGAAGTATATTAAGGAACGGTGGGGAAAAGTATTAGTAATTTAGGACCCTACGTTACAAACTTGCCTACGAACCTCATAGTACCCTTCATACTGCCCTTATACCTCTTGTACGACCCTTAAAGGAACCCCGAAACGGACTAAAAACTCACTCCACTCCAAAGTCGCCTGCACCCCGGAGACACACCTGCACTGCGGACGGGCTCCTGGGCTTTCGGCTTTTGGGTTACAGAGTTACGGTTTCCGGTTTAGGGTCTGGGGTTTGGGGTTTAGGGTTTAGGGTTTAGGGTTTAGGGGTTTCGGAGGAGTAGTAGTAGTAGTAGTAGTAGTAGTAGTAGTAACAGCAGCAGCAGCAGCAGCAGCAGCAGTAGCAGTAGCAGTAGCCGTAGCATTGTTAGTGTTGCTGCTGCTGTAGCAGTAGTAGTAGGTAATTGTCACTACTATGGCTACTGCTACTGACGCTGTTACTCCCCCTGCCACTGCCACTGCTGCTGCTGCTGTGACTGCCACTGTTACCACGGCCGCCTACCACCACTACTACTGCCGCTGCCGCTGCTGCTATTGTGACGGCTGCTGCAGCTGCTACGTACGGTTAGTTCAACTAGCAGCGCATGTGCTGCCTCTGTCTCTGTTGCTCTTGCTCTACCTTGCGTAAGACACCTGCTCATCATATCAACTGCCTGATTGCAAGCTCACCTCGCCAAGGAACACTTGAGTGCTCAAGATCCGAGAACCAAGACTTCCTAGCACAATAGAGCTCACCTCACTTGAGTGCTCTTGCGTGCCCAGCAGCTCACTGACGGTGCCCTGCCAGGATTCTGTGTAGGATTCTGTTTACTGGTTGAAGGGTTTTGTGGATCTTGTGCCTCAGGGGCCTGGGATTCAAGGTTCAGCGGTTCAGGGTCTTAGAGTTTCGGCTTCCAGCGTTTAGGGCTGGATTTTCCCGCTCCAACATGCATACAACTGCCCACAAGCTTGCAGCTCGATACTAGCCTGAACTGCAAAGGACCCGGCAGGAGCAGCAGCCGTAGTGGTGGGGACTGTAGCAGAGAGTTGGAATATCAGTACTGAGAACCTTTTAACAAAGATAGCAACAGCAACAATAATCAACAACACATAGTTGTACTCCCTTAACTAAGTAGCAGCCGCAGCCATAATATCAATAATGATGACAGTTATACCTTAAATACACATCATCACCATCATCATGATCATCGTCATGATCATCATCATCATGATCATCATCATCGTAACAATCCCAACAATGAGAATACAATAATCATGATAGTAGTCAATACCAATGCAAACATGATAATAAGTACAGTAGATGAACACAAACAATGCCACAATACAAGCATAATGATAAGGATCCAGATATTAACATTAACACTTAACATCTACTATTCATACGAGCAGTCAATACAACCGATAATATAAACAACCAGATAATGGTGATAAATGTAATTCTAAGAGTAAGGATTACAACGCCAACAATCATAATGCCAACAGTGACAATAATAATGCTACAAACAAAAGGAAGCTATTAATAACAACATCTACAACAATAGTAGTTGTAATTGATATTGAAACATTCGAAAAGCAGCTTTTGACAACAATTTTCAAAATCACAGTAGCAACTGCAGTAGGAGGAGCCATCAGAGCGGGTGCGGGAGAAAGGGTAGTAGTCGAGCTGTCTTCGCGCTTGAAAATACATGTCGACATTGTTTTCTTCGCCTTCGCTAATGTGTTCGTCATCACACTAAGTTTTGGGGTCGGGGGCAGTCGCCATAGCTCTTCTGGCTATCGCCGCTATAACTATGGCACGGAACTATGGTCGTTAATATTCTGGCCACGAAGTTTCCCTCCCTTGAAAGCTGGTGTCTGAGCTCCTAGGGTACCCAAGGCTTCCCTCACAATACCTAAGACGGCATACAAGTCTTGTCCCACTGTCCTACATCCTACACGATCCAACAAGACTTGCATGTGACATGCCCCTTGGCGCATGGCTGCATCGCTCTGCTCTTTTTTGACTTCTGCCGCCCGCAGGGTGCATTCACACCTGCGCATGCTCCACCTAAGCTGGAGTTGCGGGAGTTGCTCCGGGATATCGGTCAACCACCCCATGTCCGGTGTGAAGCTAAACCCTCCTACACTCTCCTAAACCCTAAACCCTAAACCCTAAACCCCTAAACCCCTAAACCCCTAAACCCTAAACCCTAAACCCTATAAACTCTGTATCCCCTAAATCGCAGGAGATGGCCATTGCGTTCGGGCTTTGAGGGCCTGGCAGCCGAGGTTTGGGAGTCTTTGGGTGCCTAGGGTCATCCAGGGCCAAGAAAGAGCTTAAGGCTTCTTAGGGCGATAGGGTTTAGGGTTTAGGGTTTAGGGTTTAGCGTTTAGGGTTTAGGGTTGGCGATAGGGTTGCCATAAGGGATAAGGGTGTTTTTTATGGCTTTTACGGGGTTGGTGGCGCTGGCCTGAACCACACGCAAAGCTTTTAGCACGAAGAACTGATGAGTTGACAGGAGGATAAAAAGGTGAGAAGACTGAGTGGAGCTGTCTCTCTAAGCTCATGATGTCGATTGCTGTTTGATAAGCGATATTTCACTGCAGGCCTCGAACTTTATGATCCCTGCTATACAGTGGTAGTCAACGGGCTTAGTCTACCAGGAGGTTCAGGTTGCTTAAAACCCAAATTCAGAAGTATAATTTCAACCCAAGTAGAAGTCCCTAACTACAGTCACCTGACCTAAACCACGGTAACCCTCAGAATGTAGGTATCTAAGGGTACAGGGATGTTATAAACGTAACCAGAAACTCAAAGTGCAGAGCTTCGCATAAATTCTGTTGGGCTGTTGCCTGCGATGTGTTTCAGAACCTTGTTAGGACGACAAGACTGCGAATGGTCCTAAACCGACACGACATGACCCTTTCAATCAATACTCTTCATCACTAAACTCTGAAGCCTTTTCACGACGGACGTCCAAACCGTGTTTGGTTTCATGGCTTTCCTGGACCGGCAGAATGACTTTCTGTCACAAACTGAAAGAGCTGGGGCATTGGCAGCGCCTACTTCTAGAAGGCCTAAACACGAAACCCTCGCTCTCCAGATTTGAAATTTTCGCTTTGCGCCTATGGGTTTCCAGCTTTTCGTTTGCTGGACCGGAAAGGGTAAATTGTGATCATGGAGGAGCAAGCCAAGACTGAAAACGTAAAGCTTGCCAATCCAGCTACCAACTCTACTCTTCTGTAAGCTGTCGTCCTCATCAAGCAGGAAAGACCATGAACCCCCCAAAAGCCTGCAATCTGCAAACAAGCGCGTCGGACTCAAAACCAGGAGAGCGTAAACGCTACCAAACTCCCTGAACCCTATACTTTCTCCCTACGTAAACCTAAAACCCAAAGCCCTACACCTAAATCCTAAACCAAAACCCTAAACCACCAAAGGACCATCCGACCAAGTCACTAAGCCCCAGCCAGAATTCCTTTGGCCTGGTTCAGAGCTTTCATCTCCTCGGCGATCTGCACACTACTGCAAGCCCCGGGAGATTTCGCATTAAAAAAGCTGCCTTTGGAACTGACGGATCTCGATTTAGGGCTTCGGGGCTTTAGGATGCCAGGGTTCGGGCCCTTAAGGCCCGCAAGCCCAGCAGATTTTGGGCTGTTGGTGTTGAAAGGTTGATAAAGTATATACAGATAGATCATCTTCCTATCGGCAATATAAAAACCCAAGATCTTTTGGGGTGTTGAAAGGTTGATAAAGTATAAAATACAGATAGATCATCTTCCTATCGGCAATATAAAAACCCAAGATCTTTTGGGGAGCCAGATTTCCAGGTAACTGGGCACCTACAATAGAAAGAGCATCGAGGTTTATGTGGTTGACCTGAAGCACCAAGACCTCCCTTTTGATGAAACTCATAATCAGGAACCCTGATGGGTTTTTCCTCTCGCCCTGATGGGTTTGGAGTGTAGGGTCTCAATGGTAAATTAGCATGAACAACCATAGTTTTTTTTAATAGGATGTTGGTACAAGTAGGGCGATCGGATTTCCCAGACGAGTCTCGTCTGAGAGGGCTTTCTGGCGAACCTCGAAGTTCTTCACGTAGAAGTCGCATTCCTACGACCAAACACAGGCTTGTACTTTCAGCCCCTGTGAGTCAACATAAACATACTAATCTTTGGCACGCTCCCGTAGGTCTGTATGTATATCATCGTAAACAACACTGCGAAAGGATTCCGAAGAAACACCTAGTATAGTATACGGCTCATCTAGACCCTAAGCCCTACACCTCAACCTAGGCCTAGGGTGCAGACCTCGAGGATAGGGCTTTTTGTTGGAAACGCTCCGCGATCTCACAACTCGTTGCATCTAGCCTTCTGGGTGATCATCTCCATTCTCCTACAGTTCCTCCTTCTAGCAAAGATTGTAAGTTTACGCGGTTAGGGATATTTTTTTGGGGGGATTCGACATAGGCTCCCGGATGGTTTCCTGAACCTACTAGTCAGCAAACTTGACTGCCTATGTCAGAAACCTGTAAGTCACAGCTAGGCACCCAGCACCTGAAGCCTTAGCCTAAATGCCTCACGGGATGCTTAGGCTGCTGTCAGCAGTTTTACACGCGAAACACTGGAACCAGTTGTATGGCATTTGAGGGCCAAACAATCCTGCCCACAAACTCCCAGCCGATTGTGGCCCCAAGTGGCCCTGCGGTCCTAAAGCATGAGTCACAAGTCTCCTCGACAGAAACTACGTAATATAGGGGCCATAAGATTATATTGTGGATATAATAAGGAACCTCCAAAACAGTGTCGGCAATTATTAAGGCCCCTGTCTTAGTCTCCATTGTAGCTCCTCTTTGGGGTTACCTTGCAGGATCCTTCATATTTAAGTCTTACTAGCTCAACCCAAACAGGAACTACCATGCAGACTATAGGTCCTAGGTAGATCCTATGCCCCCGACAATCAGGGGGTTTCCGAAAATAGGGGACCCTCATATAGAACCCTAAATAGTAGGATCCTTATTATAAGGACCCCCAAAATAAGGTACCCCTTGTTTTCGGAAACTCCCGTCAACAAAAGTAGGTTTTGGGTTCTTAACCCTAAACCCTAAACCCTAAACCCTAAACCCTAAACCCTAAACCCTAAACCCCGGAGGCCTCCTTGAGAGAGGCTTTGGTGTCCGCAAGTCGTGCGAGCTCCTGTCTGCCACGAGAAGAGTAGTTCTCTAACTTAGGATCTATTTTGGGGTCCTTATAATAAGGATCCTACTATTTAGGGTGCTATATTGGGGTCCCCTATTTTCGGAAACTCCCAGAAGAGTTCTCTAAATAGGATCTGTTTTGGGGTCCTTTTTAAGCAAGGGTGCCGTACTATGTTGGGGAACCCGAAAAGAGACCACAAGTTAGAGAATTAGCCAGAAGCTAGAAGCTTGACTGTTAAGATTAGGGGGGACCTTTAAGTATAAAAAGACCCCCTCAACGAGGTCTCCCTTTTAATTAATAGAGCCATAGGTAGGCTTAAGAGAGCAGTTCACAGCTTCTTCTCTCAGAGGGCTGTGTCTTCTCTGAAGGTGCGGGGTTCGACCCTTTGACCAGGGATTCCGCACGTTTTTGGAGCTCATGAAATACCCAAAGGCCCTAAAGTAGTTCCCTTTTGGGGTTCATATATAGAATCCTATAAGGTAACCCCCAAAAAGGAACTACTCTGGGACCCTTTGGGATAGGCTCTGGAGTTGTGCGTGCCCTAAACCCTAAACCCTAAACCCTAAACCCTAAACCCTAAACCCTAAACCGTGGCCTCAAAATGAGAGCCTGGAGCTTGGGTCGAAGCTTTGAGGCTCAGAGAACTGAAAAAACACACATTTAGGGTTTCGGCGCTCACACTCGGACAATCCAGGCGAGGCATTCTTTTTTGGGGGGTTTAGGGTTTAGGGTTTAGAGGCTTTAGGGTTTAGGGCTTAGGGTTTAGGGAAGAAACTGAAACTTCGGCCCTACGCTCTAACCGGCAGTCAGGGTTTGGGGAAGTCAGAATCGTAAAGCTTAGCTAAAACCTATAAGACGCTTGATGATCTACATCCTGCATTACCCATAATAAGGAATACACCATACTTCCCATAGTTTAGGGTCCTTAAGGAAATGCAGGATTTATATATATATATATACACATACATACATACATACATACATACATACATACATACATACATACATACATACATATAAATCTATAAATCTATAAATATAAATATATATATATATATATATAAATATATAGTAGGGCTATTATTCTACGTGGGTCTGGTGTCCAGGTAGACTTGAGCGCTAACTGTTCGCCTCCTCAGTCGACTCGATGGTTGATTCGGCTTCAGCCTGCAAGTCAAAGCGCTGTTAGGGGCTTGGTTTAGGGTTTAGGGCTTCAGGGTTTAGTGGTTTAGGGTTTAGGGCTTTAGGGTTTAGGGTTTAGGGGTTTAGGGGTTTAGGGGTTCTTTGCGGCCTTAAAAAAAGGGGTTCTCTGCGGCCTTGTATGGAGTCTGTGCAACGGATTTATCAGGCTTCAGATCTAGAGGTGAGAGCTTCTCAAACAAAAGCACCTGATTCCGATATGCAGGCGCTATGTTACATTGGAAAATCAGAAAACACGGGACCCCCACAGAAGATAAACAAGAGCAGGATCCTTCAAATAAGGACCCCTCACTACAGGACCTCTGAGTAAGCCATCCCCGTTCTGAAGGAGTAGACTGAAAGAAGTTCGGATCTACCCAAACATAGTCTCCACTGTAGTTTCCGGTTTTGGCTACCTCTAGGATTCAAGGAGATTCTAGGATCCTACATAAGCCCTAAAACCTAAATCCCTCAACCCTATACCCTTGATTTCAAATTTTCAACTTCTAGGGTCCTACAGAAAGCTAGCCAGGAACTCCAATGGGGACTAAGTACCTATAGTCTCCATTGTAGTTCCTTTTTGGGGGATACCTTCTAAATTCCTTATTATATATTTGGTTAAACCAAAAAAAGGAACTACAATGGAGGCTATAGGCCCTAAAACCCTAAACCCTAAACCCTAAGAGCCTGAATTAGACCCTAAACCCTAAACCCTACCTATAGTCTCCATAACTACAATGGAGGCTATAAGTAGAGGATGAAAGTTCGAGATCCAGAGCTGCGGCTTGAGGGATCCCGAGTCAGGGTTCGGGTTCTCGGATGTTCGGGTTTAGGTTTTTATAGGGTTTAGGGTTTCGGGTTTTAGGGTTTGGGGTTTAGGTGTTTTAAGGCTTAGAGTTTCGGGCTTTAAGGGCTTAGGCTGTTAGGGTAGAGATTTTTTGGGGGTGCAGGGCTCAGGCAGTCTATGGCCGTGGGATTGAGAGCCTATGCTCCTGGGGCCCCTTCCTGGCTTTCGCCTGTAGCGGAAGCCCCAAACCTGTGGCCCTGCGCATGGCTTAGGGGTTTTGGGGTTAGGGTTAAGGGTTAAGGGTTTAGGGTTCAGGGTTTAGGGTGGGTTTTACGGTTTAGGGGGGTGGGGTTCAAGGGTTGGTTTATTTAAAGCACCTGGTTTAGGGCTTAAGGTTTATGAGGCTAACTTGCTCGGAAGATGCAAAGCCTTCTATAAAGCTCTACAATGCACTATAGATCTCCTTGTAGTCACTTTTCCAGAAACCCCTGAAACGCCACGACAAGACAATCCTAAGCCTGAAGCCTTGCTTTAGGGGCTTTGCCTCCTGAGCCCTCCCTAACCCCTAAACCCTAGTAAACCCTACATCAAGCAACCCGAGCCGAAGTCTGCGAATCGTGAGCTTCTGGGTTTCGGGACTTGAGGTTTGGGGTTTAGGGTATACAGCTGAGGGTAATGTGTATCTGTGAGCAGATATCTATAGGCAAACAAGCGAGCAAACGAACGAAATCACGGACGGATAGACGAGCGAAAGAACGAACAAAGGATCAAACCAGCAAGCCAGCCAGCGAGCGAGCGAGCAATCGTCCAACCAACCCACCAAACACGCAGCAAGCGAGCGATCCAGCGAGAAAGCGAGCAAGCAGGCACGGAAGCAACAACGAACATGCATGTAGGCATACATGCATACATGCATACACTTGTGCAGATACATGGAAGCCGTATTATTTCTCACCCGAGTGGAAGCACGCTTCTTTGGATCTGACTGGCCTGGTCATTCTTGGCATCCGCAATCTCCATCCTTTCTGCTCTGGGTTTCAGGGATTTCAGAATCACTGTAAGGCATTCCTTCTTGATGTTGTGCTCCCGTGTTTATATACTATAGAAACCAGCTTGTTGCTCGTGTCCTTGCTTGCTTGCGTATGTGGCTCTCTGCAACTTGTCTGTGTCTGTGTGTGAGCGAGGGCGTTACTTTTGCTCGTTTGCGTCGTTGGTTTTTGCTGTTGTCGGTGGTGGTGCTGGTGCTATTGCTGGTGGTGGTTCGGGGTTATTCAGAGCCGAAGGTGCGATCCTTCAGCACTCTGCGCGAAAGCTCGCCATAGGCGTACAATCAACCCATGGAAGTGGACGCAACATGACAAGCTGTGCTCCAAGTTCAGCCAGTTACTGACAAATTGACGCATATTTGGTAACCCCAAACCCTACAGACATCCTGAAAGGCATCTTGCCCCTAAGCCCTACACCCTAAAGGCCTTCTTCAGCCGAAGCCTCTTCATCCTTGTCCCTGCTACAGTAGCTGCTTCTGACGGATTTGGCCTTTAAGTGCGTAGCGAGAGGATGGAGAAAGGCTCAATTTTGGGGGCTGGACGTCATACCATTCCTAAAGGCTCCTTATTGAGATCATGACCATACCATACCAGAAATTCTACTTCTGACTAGCATGGCCGCCGCTTTCTGCATGATCCGAGATGCATCTTGCCATCCTTCTCCGTTGTCTTCGCCTTGATGCTGGCGCCGGTCTGCGTCACGAAATCCTGTCAGTCAGGCCGTTCGGGTCGAAGGTTCTGGGGGTTCCTGGGCATGTGTTTCTCTTGCAACCCCCCTATGGTTCTGTGGGGCCGAGGGATCGCCTATTCTTGTTGAAGGTTCAGGTATGGCGTCGCCGCTTGCGATGAGGCTTCGCGAGTTTTCGGGTGTACTTCATAACAGCAATCACACTCATGCTCGTAATGATGATGTCTGGCCCCCGGACCCTAAATCCCTTAAACCCTAAACCCCTTAAGCCCTAAGCCCATTTTTCAGCAGGGACTGCAATGCACCAAGCCCGAAGCCCTAAACCCTTTTTTGAACCCTGAACCCTCAAACCCTAAACCCCTCAAACCCTCAAGCCCCAAAGCCCTGAACACCTTAAATCCTATAAACCCTAAACCCCTTAACCTGCCTCGTCCTAAACCCGCTAAACCCTATAAACCCTAAACCCTAAAGCCCTTAACCCTCTAAACCCCAAACCCCCCATAAACCCTATAAACTTAAACCCCAAAACCCTAAACCCTAAAGCCCTGAACCCTATAAACCCTAAACCCTATAAACCCCTCTAAATCTGCCTCGTAGGAAGCCTGGGCATCCTGCTCCCCCTCGATGGCCTCTGCCTCCAGGCGCCTGGGGCAAGAAGTTTCAGGGTCGTGAGCTGAGGTCCCCAAACCGTTTCATGCGGTTTAGGGTGTAGGCTTTAGGCTTTAGGGTACCAGGAATATTGGGTTTCGGGGTTTAGGGTTTCGGGTTTAGGGCTTAGGGAATATTGGGTTTCGGGGTTTTGTCTTTATTTTTTGAGCCCCTTTTTCCACCCCTAGCATCCAAGCCACAGTCAGAAGGTCCCGGGACCAGGGGCTTAGGGTTTAGGGTTTAGGGTTTAGGGTTCAGGGTTCAGGGTTTAGGGTTTAGGGTTTAGGGTTTAGGGTTTAGGGTTTAGAGTTTAGGGCTTTGGGTTCAGGGTGGTTTAGGGTTTAGGGTTTAGAGTTTAGGGCTTTGGGTTCAGGGTTTAGGGGCTTAACATGTCATAATGTGTCCTACCGCAGTCCCTATATAACGGTACGTTGGGGCCAAATTGTAAAAACAAACTATCTGGGCACATGGACCCCTAGGGACCATGAAGATGAAATAAGGAGGTCCCCGACATCTATAGGCCCGAAACCCTTCTCGAAACAGTAAAACCCCCCGGCCTTCCGACTAGATGCCTCGACTGAGACACCTAAACCATGAAGCCACAAACTAGGTTCCCCAGTAGCCCCTAAATAATCAAGGTACGCTTTTCCATACGATTTGGTTTTATTAAGGGAACCCAAAAAGCAAAAGGGCAAAAGGGTACTACTGGGGAACCCAACTAAACTAGCCCTGAAAGCCTTCTCCGGTTCAGATGGGGTTTTGGGTCTTTAGGTTTGGGCTGCAGGGTTATAGTTCAAAGGCTTAGGACTCAGGTATCATCATCAGCGTCCGTTTCATTGCCAAGAGCGATAAACCCTAAACCCTAAACCCGTAAACCCCTAGACCCTAAAACCCCAAAACACTAAAAAGTGTCTTGGGCACCCTCGAAGCACTGCCAAGTTGGGAGGCGCTAGGACGTGCACAACACCACAAAGGACCCTCGGCAAAACCCCAAATTTCAGCATGTAGCACACCGTTACTAGAGCACATCACTTCAGAACCTTCGGGGTAAATTTAGGTTTAGGGTTTAGGGTTTGGGGTACCCAACTTACAGGCAAAACAAGCATCACCACCATCATCGCCGTCTTCTTCATCGTCACACGCTTCCTGTTGTTGGTCTACATGACGAAGGGCTGAGCGGCTAAACCCTAAACCCTAAATCGGCCCGCCTTGCATCGGCAATGATGGTCTCAATCAAAGAGATGGCACTTCCACCGTTGGAGTTTTTCTGGTAGTCTTGGAAATCCTGTCTTCGTGGTTGCTGAGCCACTGTCTAATGCGTTTGGGGTAGTTAGGCTGTAGGGAGTGTTCGTTATCACATTCTTACAATAACCTTCTCAACCTTACATAAAGCGCCATATTGGAAGGGCTTAGGTTTTGACTTTTACACTCGCGGCAGGCGGGGCTGGCAAGGATTCACGACTCGTCCATCTGCAGTAGAAACCGTGTTCGTCTTAATAAGGTCTTGAACCCAAAACCCTAAACCCCAAAACCCTAAAACCTAAACCCTAAACCTTAAACCCTAAACCCTAAGTCCTATGGTGTAGGGTGTATGGCTTCGGGGTCTTAGTCTTGGGGTTTCGGGCGTCGCAGGTTTTGGGGCTCAGGTTTAAACACCTCCAAGAAGCTCCCATCGTACAGGGGCACGGGCTCGAGGACGGTAGGCTTCAGGGTTGAGCGTTTTCAGGTTGTCAGGTTGGAGTTCTGACAAAATCCGCTCAAGTAGCACGGACCAGAGCAGTTGAAGCGGGTCTACAGCCGTAGTAGGCGACATTTGTATAAAGCTTTGGGGTTTAGTGTTTCAGCTATGGCTGCCTAGAAGAAGCCCAGCGCAGCGTCTTTCTTTGCCCAATCTCTCAGTGCAGCTGCGGTTTCCTGCATCGGGTTCCTACATTGCCAAAGCGGTACGAGTACGAAGCCACACATTACACCCTACGCGCTTGGCCATGCACCTGAAACACTAAACCCGAATGGGAACATCCTGAACATTCAACCCAACGTTGGCTAGCAGCAACAAAACCTGAAACTTCTGGAACTGCAACAGGTCCTCTGGCGCTCCCGGGACATCGCTCTTGCTCCTTACTCTGAGCGAAGTTAAGACTGTTCTGGTGTAAACGGCGCGGGGATCCTATGTAATACCACCAGTCCTGAACCCAACAATCTAAAAGCCTTAAAGCCTGAAGACCAACAGTCAAACTCCGATAGGCGCTCGCAGCCCCCAAACCATATACGACCCCATGTTCGTTTTGACATGACTGCAATGGCGAAACCGGGGGGTTCGCGCTGTAGTGTTCAGGAGTTGAGTTTCCAAATTTTATGCTCGTTAGGATGGGGCTTAAGATTTCTTCTTACCTATAGTCTCCATTGTAGTTCCTTTTTGGGGATACCTTCTAAATTCCTTATTATAGATTTGTTTAAACCAAAAAAAGGAACTACAATGGAGGCTATAGGTAGGGCTTACATAGTGCATTCTGGGGCTCAGGGTGTATAGGGTGTAGCCCGGGCAAAATTTTCACCTGTGCTACTCCAGCCCTTCAACTTTCAACGTCGGACGACGTTCAACCCCCAATCCCACACGCGAGGATTTAAAGGAGGTTCGGGGTACATACCCCGCAGCAGAACTGTGATCCTAAACCCCCAAAAACCTTCAGCCCTAGATTTCTCAAGCCACGGTCCGACATCCTACGGTTCAAACCCCAAAGCGTCAAGAATACCAATACAAAAAGCTGCTCCGCTTAGCTGTTGCAGGGCTCTGACCTCAACCCTCAACCCAGACCCCTAAACCCTAAACCCAGGCCCTAAAGCCTCTCTGTCTCTCTCTGTCTCTCGAGGCCACTCAGTCGCCTGTCAAGCCCCGCGGGCCTCCTCCCCGCAGGACTACCACACTACACATACCCTAAACCCTAAACCC